TACCAGCATTTTGCCTTAGGGCACGATGCCATACCACTAGTATTCTTAGTTGATGATTAATACATGTCGGGACGTTCGTACTACTTTTTAACATGCATTTACTTCTTGACGTTTCTATCTTATTTTCATCCCGGAGGAAAAAGGTTGCCGTCACCTTTCACTTGCAGTAATACGATGTGTTTTTGTACGCTGTTTGATTCGCAACATAGCATTACGTGTGCTATGAAATAACACAATGACATAAAATTGGTTTTATAACCATCGGAAAGGCTTTGCCTATTCTAATGGTCACCATTAACAGGTTTTCCATGCATCTACTCGTAAAGTTTATGGACAAGAAGATATACTGACTGAGTTGAATAACAAAAGGATAAATAAATTACTATTCTTAATGAGATTTTGCATTTTCAAACTGATAGAAAATTCATTTTATAATTTGCAGATTGCTGGCAACTTTAACTGTTTTAACAGTTTATCATTAAAATTATATAAATCATTACATTTTTTTTTAAATTAATTTTTAATTATTCTGGATGTAGTGCACAAAAAATTAGATATAATCTAAAAGTGTATAAAATACATTGATTTTAAATTTATTTAGAAAATCGAGGCGATTTGCGGATTGATTATTTATTTATTTATTTATTTATTTATTTATTTATTTATTTATTTATTTATTTATTTATTTATACGTCAATCGGCTTTATACAGTTTTATAATATTGTTTGCTAATTAATAACTTGTATATTTATATCTATGTACATATACACACACATATATATTTATAAACAAATATTTTTAAATGTTCAATTATTTTTAACGTATGTGCAATATTAATATTTGGGTTTTGATTTTTGAAACATTTTACTTATTTATTATTCTTATATATTATTTAAATAATATTGTTCCTAACTGCGGTTCCTAACAAACTTATAATTTCATTTTGGATCAAAGGGCTTAAATAATTTATTGCTCCCTTTGGTTTTAAAAGAAGTTCTTTCAAAACAGCATCATAATTCGATAGCAAACGCAAAATTGACATAAAACTTTCAGAATCGGAGTCATGGCCTCTTAAAGGTAAATTGCAAGATGCTAATGTTATTATAACATTATTAAATTATTAGGTAAATTATACGATGCAATACATCTTACCAAAATGTAATTTTGCAATTAATTTCACTTGACAATTGAGTATCGATAGTATTTCCTTGCAACCAATTATTATGAAAAAGGGGCGCATTAATATGCTGCTGTGACTTTTCATGTTCAAGTAAAGTTTGTGTAAAATTGTTTCTAATAGAAACACCGTTAACCCATGCAGAGGAGTATGATTTACTACGACGATCCGCTAATAACCAACAAAAGTGACAGTATGGTTTGTTTAAAATATTAGAATAACATAACCATGGTTTTGAAATCTTTATGCCTGCTTTATTAGTATATAAATAATGATAAACAGAAAAAGAACGGTTACAAAATAATTCACAATCAACTGAAATATGTGAATAACCGCCGCTGTCTTTCAATATATAAAACCTTCGACTAACTCTGGCAATTATCATATGATTGTATTTTTTTTTAACGTCTTTATTTCTGTACCAAATGTTGTATTTCTTGTCCATTTTGGGTCAGTTGTAAAAAATATTACTTATTAAAAGAAATCCCTGCTGTTCATTCGTCGCTTGTCAACATATCATTGTATTTTGGGTACGCATAACTGTACATTGTTTATTGAGGGTTTTTCATTCATTATTGAGGGTTAAACGGGGAAACCCCGTAGGCAAAACGTGCCGATAATCGATGTAGGTTGTCCCGACAATAAAAATAAATAGATTTTTTGACTTTGTCGTTTGTGAAATAAATAAAAAGTTTTTCTCAATTTCTGTTAACGCTCGTTGGGGGCCCCCTGGGCCCGGGGGCCCCGTATCTTTGATACGGCTGATACGGCGGTAGTTACGCCCCTGGTTTTGAAACATTTTACTTATTTATTATTCTATTTATTCTATTGAGCAAATCATGCCAAGAAAGCTAAAAAAAATAGCTTTTCATTTTCATGTTCAATTTTGACACTCGTATTTCATGTTGTATTTTTTAAATTTTAATTTAATTTAATTTTTCATTATTTACAATATCCAAAATTGCATCGTAAACTTCCCCTTATTAATATCGTAAGACCCGAATTTTATTCATCCTTGCTTTCTTGTCATATTCAGAGTATCAGATTGTTGCAATTGTGATTGTGATCATTTTTCAACGTATTTTAGAAGTATTGTACAAAAATCAGTAAAAAGTGTAAAGAAATTACACATTTCTCAAACTATATTGAAAAAAAAACTAATTATATTTGATATGTATTATTTCTGCATAGTTAATAATTATTAAATTTAGAGTATGGACACACCACTATGTATAAAAAAAAAACTTAGGATTTTCCTTCCATAGTAAATTTTGCTTTACTTATTTATAATTGTTTTATTTCCATAACCCTAACCACGCATCTCTTCAACATTCAAAGTTCATCAGATGAGAAACATTTGCAACAAAAACAAAAGTTACAATTCAATTTCGCGGAATAAACCAGACATTTTCTAAGCACTCACTTCCCATTTTTTATTTTCTCAATTATACTTTGTTTATATTTATTAAAAAGTTTCGTTTCAACTAAATCAGCTCGCAATTTTTCGTCAATAATGCACAATAATTAATTTAACCTTTCGCAGGTTTGCGCTTATGAGATTGAACAAGATATTGTCTTTTTCGATTCTAAGATAACTTCATACAAATAAAAAATTGAATAAGTATAGATTAAGCAATAAACAGAGCTGTTATGTACTAATTTTCAGAGTTATTATTAATCGGTTAATTGTTTCTACTGATATAACATTGCAAAATAAGTATGCTTTTTGTGTCTCCGTATCCCTTGTTAAGTATTCCAGATTTTATATAAATAATAAAAAATATTATATAGTATATTATAAATTTAACTTCCGAAACTCGTTTTGGCGCCCTTTAAGGCGTGCACCCGCATTTTTTGCATATATATATATATATATATATATATATATATATATATATACTGGGCCGGTCCTCCCTTGCATGCGGTGCATGCAAAAAGCACGTCTTAGGGGGCGACAAAACGAGTTTGGGAAATAAAATTTATAATATATTATTTATATTTTTTATTATTTATATAAAATCTAGAATACTTAATAAATTATAATAAAAAAGCTAACTATAACTATGTGATATCAGTAGAAACTATTAACCAATTGATAATAACAGCAGGAAATTGGTAAATAACAGCCATATTTATTGCTTAATCTACTTATTTAATTTTTTCTTTGTTTGAAGTTACCGTGGAATCGAAAAAGACAATATCTTGTTCAATCTCATAAGCGCAAACCTGCCAAAGATTAAATTAACTATATTGGGCATTATTGACGAAAAATTGCGAACTAATTTAGTTGAAATGGAACTTGTTAAAAAATATAAACAAATTATAATCGGGAAAATGAAAAATGGGAAGTCAATGCTTAGAAAATGGCATGTTTATTCCGAGAAATTGAATTGTAACTTTGTTTTTGTTGCAAATGTTTTGCATATGATGAACTTTGAATGTTGAAGATATGCGTGATTAGGGTTATGGAAATAAAAAAAATATGAAAAGTGGAAGCAAAATTTACGTTGAAACGGAAGTCTTAAGGCATTTTTTATACCTTGTGGTATCCATACTCTGAATTTAATAATTATTAACTATGCAGAAATAATACATACCAAATATAATTAGCTTTTTTCAATATAGTGCAAAAATGTGTAATTTCTTTGCATTTTCTATTGATTTTTTGACAATACTTCTAAAATACGTTAAAAATTTAACTTTAAAACAACAATCTGATACTCTCAATATGACGGGAAAGCAAAGATGAATACAATTCGGCTCATATTCGGCTCTTACGATATCAATAAGGAAAAGTTTTACGACACAATTTTGGATATTGTAAATAATGAAAAATTAAAATAAAACAAAATTCAAAAAACAATGATTGATAATGAAAAGCTGTGATGATATTTTCTGTATCTGAACTTGAAGTTGTTCTATTCATATTAACAAAGGGCTATGCATTTGAGAGCAATTCTTAATGAAATCTTTATTAATAGATGTACAAACACAAATAAACAGAAGAATCACAATTTGTCCACTGACAGAAAAATAACACCGACATTTCTTATAATAACCGACATAAATGACAAAATTTTTTCATCGGCTCACTAGCGCCAAATTTGCGACTATAGTAGGATCCCGAACTAACCCTTCTAAACCCGGATTTTGTTCTGAGACAATAGTCCCTGGTTCTGTGGTGTTCTGTAGATTGCTACCGATTACAGTTTACGTCCATACTCGAATAAAATACATTTTAAGATCCAAGATGGATGAAATGAAATGTGTTAAACAAATTAATTTAATCTATACAATTACAAATGTTATAAGTATGATTAAAGAATATTAATTGAAAATTGTTTTTAGTGAAAACAAAATCATCATTTTTTGACATAAATTGATCAACATTCTATTTAAATAGTAAATCATAAATAAAAGAAGAGTGGTAGTTAATTATAATTCTTGCTGACAAAGACGATTATTTACACGTTTTGAAAAGTGCATCCAACTTGCCATAAATGCTAACTAATAATCCCATATTATTTTATTTTTTAGGTAATATTTATTCTAGAATTCATAATAAGAAAACCTTTAGACATTGAGAACTATAAGAGAACTATATTGAATTTGAAAATACGCGCCACTTGCTGAATATCAAAACGTTTTGACAAGAAGTGTCTCATCTTTCTAAAAGCGTACGCTATGCTCCAAATGTCAAATAATAAATTTGTGTGAGTTGAAATCATTTGTGAAAAAGATTGTTAATTAAACTATATTATTACTTAGTCCACAACTATTTTCGTAAATATTTTGTGAGCATAAGCAGTGAAAGTATTTAAAAATGTCAGAAGAATCAATTATGTCTATAAATAATCAAGCAATTAAAATCGAACCACCAGAATATTCAGAAGAAGACATTAAACGCGAAATTGATTATGAATTCGATGATCTTGATGATATTGTTAAATCTGAATCGTGTACTGAGGATTATGAAACCTGTTTACAAAGATTCATGAATTCCGAAGTGACTATAGAAGAAGAGGTCAAACAGGAGTTTGTCGAGACATCAGCTTACGAATGTGACACTTGTAATAGAGCATTTACAGATCCAGATCACTTAAAAGAGCATGTGGTCGATCACATGCCTAGCAATAGCAAAGAAAGCCCTTTCAAATGTAAAATCTGTCATAAGACTTTCAAATCGGTTTATTTAAAAAAACACATGCTAATTCACAGCGGTAAGCGCCCCTATGAATGCAGTGTATGCAATAAGACATTCACAAAATTAGGTAGTCTTAAACGTCACATGCTCATTCATAATGGAGTACGCCAACATAAATGCAGTATATGCAATAAGACATTCACACAATCAGGTAGTCTCAAACGTCACATGCTCATTCACAATGGAATACGTCCTCATGAATGCAGTATATGCAATAAGACATTCACACTATTAAGTAATCTGAAAAAACATAAGCTCATTCACAATAGAGTACGCCAACATAAATGCAGTCTATGCAATAAGACATTCATACAATTAGATAGTCTTAAATGTCACATGCTCATTCACAATGAAGTACGCCCCCATGTATGCAATATTTGCAATAAGCGGTTTACACAATCTGGTCATCTGAAACACCACATTTCTTTGGTGTTTTTGACTTTCACAGAAATAGGCAGTATGAAATGTCACATGCTGATTCATAGTGGAGTACGCCCCCATGTATGCAATACTTGCAATAAGACGTTCACACAATCTGGTCATCTGAAAACCCACATGCTCATTCACAGCGGAGTACGCCCTCATGATTGCAATATATGTAATAAGACATTTACAACGTTAAGTATTCTAAAAAGTCACATGCTCATTCACAGTGGTAAGCGTCCCCATGATGCAGTATATGCAGTAAGACATTCACACAATTAAGTACCCTGAAAGGCCACATGCTCATTCACAGTGGTAAGCGCTCACATGAATGCAATATATGCAATAAAACATTCGCAAGACTATGTGATCTGAAACGTCACATGCTCATTCACGGTGGTGAGTGCCCCCATGAATGCAGTATATGCAGTATAACGTTCACACATTTAGGTAGTCTCAAACGTCACATGCTCATTCACAATGGAGTACTCCGCCATGAATGCAGTATATGCAATAAGGCATTCACGCATTCTGGTACTCTGAAACGTCACATGCTGTGTTGTCACGGAGAAAATTCTTATAAATGTGAAATATGCAATAAAGTATTTACTCAATCCAGCGAATTAAAGAGACATATGGTACTTCATGGTGGGAAGTGGGAAGAAAATGAATGAAAATATTCTTGCCTGTAATATAATGTATATTTATATGAAAATTGTATAAAATAAATAGTACACAGCACATGATATGCATTTGTTGATAATCAAGAGAATTGTTTTAAATAGGTTATTTTATAATTTGTCATATTTTAATTTTTATGAATTGAATATTAATAATGTGGATTAGCAAACACTGGATCGGGTTTTGATACCCTTCCATGGCCAGCTTAAAAAGCATTCGATTTGCATTGACAGAGAGATGTGCTGATTAGTTCTGTCAAAGGCACGTCTAAACGTTTTGTATATAGAGGGCAAAAAGTGCCAAAAACGAAAAATCAGAATTTACCAATTCTTTAATTCAACAATACAAGTAACCATGAATCATTCAAATCGGGTACTCCGTTCCCTCAAAAGCTGAATTACCGTTTCTAGCACTTTTTGCCCCCTATTTTCGAAACGGCTGGACCTGTCTTCACCAAAAACTAATCAGCACGTCTTCTCATCAATAGGATTTCAATGCTTTTTGAATCATTCATAAAAAATTGTATCCAAACATACACACACACAAAAATACATCATTTTCTTCAAATGTTACAAAATTTTCGAACACATTGCTCAATGTCAATAAAATTACTTCAAGTCTTTTACTATATAATTCTATAAGTTTTGTTCCCATGTATTGGCATATTTATAAAATGAAAAATCATACACTACAAATTATTTCTACATATTTGAACTTCGAATAAACTTCAATTAAGAGGCACGAATAGATAATAAATATAAGAATGCCCTAATATTTTTTTCTGAAATTTACAAATGTTACAACATATATGTATTTCCAATTGTTTCTGCAATGTGCAATATTGCCGACATAGTGCAATATTTTCTGTTTGCGTGCATCGTTCATAACTTTCGTTTATTTCAATATAACTTCCGTGCAAGCATGATTTGATTCATGTAAAATCGTAAAAGAACATTCATTTTCCTTTGATTGAGCGTATATAATAAAAGTTGCATAGATTTTGCAATTTATAAATAAATCATATTTTAAAACATCGTATGTGTTTCAACCATCATACATGATCTTTCCGGAAATTAATTTAAATTAATCAACAAAAATTGAGATTGAGAAGCATACTGCAAATTTATTGAAATTGCAGAAAAATATGCACCAGAACTTTGGCCCATTTCTAGTCAATAAGGTATAAGGTCAGATCTACAGGATCTGAATCAGAGGTCCTGTACCAGTGCTTCTCTGATCATGAATCATAGACATAGGTTTTTACTTGGAAACATAGAAATATATTTCTGTGGAATAAATCTAATTTATAATTTTCCAACCGGTGTAAAAATATATTAAACATCTTATCGCCCACAAAATATATAAAAACTAGTTGAAAGTGGCATTTAGTCTTAAGGCAGGTTGCATAAACTCCCGAAATGTGTAAGAATTAACTTGATCAATCGAAATTGAAATTTAGATATTTACATAAAATTCTCAACTTTTTATTTCACAAAAAAAAAGTTGTCACTTTCAATTAAATCTAAACATAACGATTTCAAATAGAATTTTCTCAAACACATTTAAATTAACTTAATTATTAATTATATTGCACAGACACTTGCTTGTATGCCTTAAAATTGTAGCTTACTATTTTAAATTTTAATAAATTAATAAGGTTTGACTCATCACATCACAAAAGCAACTTTTGACACAAACATGATTATAATATTTTCTTAAACTTTGATTAATTTTTAACATTATACTATTTGTCGTAGGGCCGTAACATTTCAGTATGTTTTATAAGACCATGGATATCAATTGCTAAAAAAGGGTTCATAAAAATAGAAAAAAAAAAATTTCGACAGTTAATTTAAAAAAACGGGTCGGTAGATCTTTACCTAAAACTTTCATTATCATTTCCAACCAATATCTTTCGAAAAGTGTTTTATTATTTAAAATCAATTCAGAATTGAGAGCTAAAATGTGAACCGAACGAATCAGCCGATCGTCGCACAAAACTGAGAAATACATTGATTGGCTTTTAAATTTTTGAAATCGGATCAGGCGTTTTCAAGAAAAGCGTCGATGAAAGTTCTTATTTTGACAAACGCCATAAAACCGATACTAATTTTGACAAAATTTTATTTTATTTATTTATTTTATTTAAACGACTTAAGTCAATTGTCGTAAAGCCGTAATATTTTAGTATGATCTATAAGACTTACAGTATCTACCGTCAAAAAAAATCACAAAAGTCGTCGAAAAAAATTTTTTAACACTTTATTACAAGAAAACGACCCGGCCTATCTTTAACAAAAACTAATCAGCACGATTCCCAACCAATTTCTTTCGAACAGTTCATAATTAAAACGTGGACAAAAAAAATCACTTTTCTGCGATTTACAAAGAAACGGCTTGACCCATCGTCACACAAATTGAGAAACACTGGTTCTCATCGAGATACATCGAATGTTTTTTAAATTTTTCAAATTGGTCCAGGCGTTTTTGAGAAAACGTGGATTTACGGCAAAAAATCTGTTCACATACACACACACATACTTTTTCCAAATTTGGTCTCATTTGATACTGAATGGCTTAAAATGTCAAGAAAACACATAATTAGCGAATTGGAATTTTTGACGAAAACCTAAACTTCTCCTTCGGGAAGTTAATTATTACAACAGCTTATAGGACTCTTAAGTTCTGATTGCTGTTCAATCAAAAAAAAAACATCTAATATTGTAAAAAGCTCCAGGTATCGAACCAGGGACCTCTAATTTCAAATCCCACAGCTCTAACCTCTAAACCACGGGAACTACAATATGTGATTGCCAGTTGTGAAGTTTTTTACTCACAATCTTCTCCTTTTCTGCATTTTTATGATTATATCATAAATCGTTATGATTCACCGTTGAATATGTGCCGCCTAGGTATAAAGTGTACGATAATATCATCTTTCCTGTTATTAATTTATTCATAAGCGTTATATTGGAGAAAGTTGAGCATTGACATATGTTCGTTATGTTGTTACTGTATAAGACAGTTGTTTGCAACGTTTCAACATCCCGGGCCACTTTTATATGCCATTCACTTGAAAATACATGGTAAAATCATATTTTGAAAATTGTTTTGATTGGTGCATATTTATTCTTAAATCTTCCGTTGGCTTGTAAATAATCTAGATTTGAAAATATTTGTTTCCGTTCCTGTAACAATATTTACATGTTTCTAAAATTATCAGATTTGCACAATTTCGACAAAATGTGTATCTATCGATGCAAATGTGATTGGTAACAACTTTTATTTTTAAATTCTTGAAAGAGATTTATGTTTTTGCTGGAAAATTAAGTTTGCTGATTTTGTTTTTCCCGACGTTGCAAATTATTCTGAATTGTTTGACGCGAACATTGAAAAAACTGTGTTGGTATACGTATATGTGAGACAAAATATGATTTTTAGTCGTAGTTTTTTCAGAAAGGCTGGACCAAATTATAAAATTCAATAGCCATTGATCAAATGCAATAACTTGTATGGATTATTTAAGTTTTTTTTAACTTACCGTAGAGAACATTTCTGTTTCTGTTTCTGAACATTTTCGAATACCTGTATTAGAAAAAATGAATGCATGTGTGTGTGTGTGTGTTCGGATACAAATGTTTGTAGA